ATTTGATTTCTATGAAATGTTCTAACTGTAACCTTGGGATTTAGTAACTATACTGGGAATTGTGGCGATAATACAAGCGAATTTGAGGTCAAAATAACTAAACTCAAAAAATTCTCTCTGTTTTGGGATAGATTTTGCAATTCCCTTGTCAATGCTCCTTAAAGGATCACTATAGTGTCAGGAAAACAAACTAGTTTTCTTGACACTATAGCATCCTCAGGACCCCCCACCCTCAGGGCCCCCCTCTCTTGGCGCTATAGGGGTTAAAACCCCTTCAATTACTTACTTTAATCCAGCGCCGGGCTCCCTTGGCGCTGGTGACCTCTCCTCTCACTCCGACGTTGGCTCTCGAGTGGAGCGGAATGCGCATGTGCGGCAAGAGCTGCGCGTGCATTCAAACAGTCCATAGGAAAGCATTTCTCAATGCTTTCCTATGGACGTTCTGCACTCTGAATGCGATTTTCGCATCCAGTGTCGCAGAAGAGCATCTAGCGGCCGTCAGGAAGACACCCACTAGAGGCTGGATTAAACCTGCAATGTAAACATAGCAGTTTCCCTGAAACTGCAATGTTTACATCTAAAGGGTTGAAACCTGGGGGACCTGGCACCCAGACCACTTCATTGAGCTGAAGTGGTCTGGGTGACTATAGTGTCCCTTTAATTCCCAGTTTAGTGGATAAAATTCATAATTTGGTAAAAATTATTCAGCAACCTGATTTGAACACCATTGTGCTTCGCGTGACGTGCTGTTTAGATTAACATCTAAGGGTGCAAACACACTCTCAGTGACTTACAAAAACAAATCGAGTAGCGTTAGTCACTGCTGTTTGAGACAGAAAGGTACTCTGAAAAATCAACTCATTGCTTAATGATTTAGTTCAGTCACACTTCCCAGCTGTCTCGATTTCTGCAGGACAGTCCTGTTTTTGAATGTCTTACTAGTATTCGATCTGGTTTTTGTACATACTTTTAATCTCTATTAAGGCAACAGTGACTTCAATGTATCACCAAATGCCAATAATCTGAAAATTACCATTCATCCAGTATGTTTTTGTTTTTTGGGTTAGGGGCCCGGTTTATTTTGTCTGGTCCCTGACGAAGGTGCCGCGAGGCACAGAAACACGCGTTGGATCTTGTTTTTAGCTGGTTGAGCCCTTATTGATATGTGACACTGGGGCTCTCCAGTGGAGCTGGTATAGAGTGTGTTTACAATCTAGCTTAAAATCATTTTGTTTAGACAAAGTTGTAGCGGAGCTGCAATATTAAATCCCAAGATCTCCGCTGGTATAGAAGGTAATCCAAAGTAAAGCGCTGGAAAAGATGGCAATATCCCAAATCCCCCAGTAACCGGACGAAACACAGTTCAGGGAGTCAACTGACAATTTTATTCACGGCTCCAGGAGTCAACTGACAATTTTATTCACGGCTGTTAGCCTATGCATGCTCTCTATTCTAAAACACACGAATACATTTTTACACCAGGTTAACACAGTTATGTTCTCCCTCTAATCTGGCCTGGTCGGAGATCACCCTATCCCTGTATACTTTTAACGTGGGGTCTATCTGAACCTCAGCCTCAAATTCATTCAGGGTATCCCAGGTAACACGGGTCGTAAGAGGGTCCCTGTCTTTTACCTGAGCCTCAAAGTGTGTTGCTGGAGCCGTGGTGCAAGCCTGTTGCCTGGTGGTTACTGGGTGAGCCTCTTGGAGTAGAGCTTGAGGAATAAAGGCGGAAGTCATTCGACCCAGGTCGTTTCCCAATACGACATCCGCTGGCAGTTTCTGCATCAGGCCCACCTCTACCATGCCATCCCCAACACCCCAATTCAAATGTACTTTTGCGGTGGGTATTCTGTATACTGCTCCCCCTGCTACTCGTACTGCTACAGATCTGCTGGTGTGTGCAGAGCCTGGAACCAAATGAGGGGCAACCAGAGTCAGAGTGGCTCCCGAATCCAGGAGCCCTTGAACCTCTTTCCCTTCCAGGGTTACTAGCTGGCGATGGTGTTGCCTGTTGTCTGTGGCTTGTACCAACATCACATCGTGTAGTATCCCCAGGGCTCTACGGTCTGATTAAAAAGTATCTCCTGGGTTGCTGGCTCCACTTGGTAGTGGTGGGCGGCTGGGTACACTCTCTTGCCATGTGGCCCCATTGTTTGCACGTATGGCACTGTATATTCTCTCTGCCATTATACCTGGATGGTGGAGTGAGCGGTGGGTCGAGGGTACCCAAGGTTGAAGTTACCGTGATGCCTCCTGGCGTCATAGTGCCGGTCTGCTAGTCTTGCAGCTTCTGTTAGGGTGAGGGGTTTTCTATCTCTCACCCATTCCTGTGCCTCTGGGGATGGGGCATTGAAAAACTGTTCTAACAGCAGCAATTGCCGTAACTCCTCCACGGTGGTTGCTTGACTGGCTTGTATCCACCCCTGGAAGGCTTGGTCCAGTTTGTGGGCCCACTCTGCATGGGAATCTTTCTCTGGTTTGCGCAACCTTTGAAACTTGCACCGGTATGCCTCTGGGGTAATGGCGTATCTTTCCAGTATAGCCTGTTTTAACTGGGCATAATCTTTACTGTCCTCCCTGGGTACAGCCCGATAGGCTTTGGCTGCCCGACCTGACAGTTTGCCTGCCAGTAAAGGTACCCACACTGCCTGCTCCAAATCATGCAAGTCACATAGCCTCTCAAAGTCTTGTAGATACCCATC